CTGAAAGCTGCAAGGGCAACCACGAAACTTTGGTCACACCAGTCCTGTCCATGCCTTGCTGACATTGGAAAAATCATTGCGTGAGTCATGCAAAACGAAGGCCGCAGCAGAGGCAGCTCGCTTGTTTGCAAGGTAGCCTGCCTTCCTGGTCTCATGCAGAATGTCTTCTGGCGTGGGGAAAACATCTTTGAAACTTGCCTTGGCCTCGGCCAACCACTTGCCCTGAACAAATTTTTGCTCCACCCCTTTTTGAAGACAAGTCTTGAGCAGGTCGTCTCTGTCAACCTGGAGTTGCTCGACACCACCAGCTGGTGCATAGTGCGATGTCCCTGCATACATCCACTTCGTATGCATGGACATGTTCCTCGTGTTTTTTTGGACGCGTTGTCCGCAATCTTTCACGGTGCTGATGACATTCTCCAAGCAATACTTCGTTGTGGAGGGACCTGCAGACAACGAAAAAGCCATCTTGCGAAGTTCCACATCATTGTAACACCAGTCCACCCGGATCCCTTGCACAAAGATTTCACGGGTGACCACCCATTCTGTAGTTCCAAGGTCGCACAGCAAACGATGAAGAGGCGACTTCTGATGGGCAACTTTTGTTCTATCTTCCAGCTTCAAGATCGCATCGGTGAGGCTCCTGAGTAGGACCTGTGCCCTCCTCTTGTCGTCCTGATTTGGAGACATGATTCGGGCTAAGCAGTAGGGAAAGACCAGCCCAAAATGGACTTGTGACCAAGCCCGGTTTGCTGCCAGCGTCATCACCAGCTTGACGTACTGCTTGGCCAGCTTCGATTCCTCCTCGAGCACAGGATCATCGGGCTGGAAAACTCTGAAAGGTGAAGGTGTTGTCATCTTCAGCCGCTCAGCAGTGTCTGGCCCCGTCATTCGATTGATCATTTTGACAATGGTCTGATACCAGTTCCCACAGGCTCGCTCTGCACACCATCGTAGCATTCCATGAGTCCCTTCCTTTTGCGCTTCCAAGTGTGCACTGTATTCTTCGTGAAGATCAAGGGTGGCGTCAATCATCATCCTCACCTGAAGTTGGAGACGAGGCTCTCCATACAGAGCAATCACAAAATCATATGTCGATTTGTACCTGCTCCTCAAGGCGTTGAAGGCTTTCCTGCCAAGGTACCAAATCAATCATTTGACACCCGATTTTACGTTTGGTGTGACAATCAAAACTGTTTCCAAAAAAGTTTGGCCACCGGTTCAATGTGAGAAGCAAAAGCTGTTTCTCCAAACCCCAGGGCCCAAGGATTGTCAAACAGGCTGCTGTGTGGCTGAGAGCTCCCGTGCATCGTCAGGATCGGGTGGAGGAGCAGGAGCTGGGGCAGGAATCATTGCGTCGTCATCGGCGTCAGCTGCACTGAGGTCCTAGATTAGAAAGCAAAAGTAATAATATTGGGGCTCGTGTGAGAACCAAACATGCAAGGATGCAAATCAACATTGAACATCTTTCAAAACGTTGCTGCCCCTGCAACCATGGATGCCAAGTTGCTTTCAAAAGGGCATGCAAGGTCTTGATGTGGCGGACTGTTTCCGACAGAATGGACCAGCTCCTTTCAAGCTGGGAAAATGATTCGGCTATGCCGAACCAAGCTTTTCCTCGTGCCTTGGGAATGCGCTTGCTGCAAACGCGAAGCCATTCATCTGGTGTAAGGCGAAAATCGGAATCTGGGCTAAATCCACGATCCACCGCCGTCATTTCAGTGAGCACATTCATGAATTCATCATCGTGCCCTTTTCGATTCATCAAGTCAGTAGCAGCATCAGAAAGTCGGGTCTGGTGAGTGCCTTTTGAGAAAGGTCCTCTGGTCCAATTGCAAAGAAGTGTTGCTTTCAGAAGCACAGGCTTCAGTCCTGCCTGGTCCACACTTCGAAGGTAATCGTTCCACTGCGGGTGGCTTCCTTCGGGCTCTGGGTAGCATCTTAACTGGCAAGGCCCAGCTAAGAAATTCATCATCTTGAAGCCTGCTGCCTCCTCATCGTGGCAAGATTTCGCACAGGGCCTCTCATCCCATGGAGGTAAGTCAAACCCGGTGACTGAAGCCCTTCCAAGTGATTCTCGTTCTGGACCAGAATTCTTGGGAACGAACTGCTCCAGGCCACGGCCAGTAAGCGCATGGAATGAGCAGTGCAATCCGAGAGCCATCACCTTAGCCACATTCAGGAACCAACCACCAGCTTTGGTAGCAGCGACAATGAAACTCACTGACTGAAGCGATGTTAGTTTATCCTGATTAAAATGACGCATTTGTTGAACAATGGAATCATATATACATGCATTAGAAATACAAATATCACATATCATGCTCTGATGAAAAGTTGCAACCTTGAAAGCTGATGTCCGACAGAAAATGACATATGGCAAAAGTATTGATATGCGCTTTGAAGCGATACAGCATTTTTTTGAGTGATACCCACCCAGGAGATCCACCCTGACAAATCACTCTGAACACCATCATCATCATCATCAGCATCAGCATCAGCATCACCATCATCGTCATCATCATCATCATCATCGTCACCATCATCATCATCATCATCATCATCCATCATCCATCATCATCATCCTCATCATCATCATCATCATCATCATCATCTCACCGTCACATTCATCATCATCATCGCCATCATCCTCATCATCATCCTCACAATCATCATCATCATCGTCACATTCATCATCATCATCATCATCATTATCTTCCTCCTCCTTATCATCATCATCATCATCATCCTCACAATCATCATCATCATCCTCACAATCATCATCATCATCCACATCCACATCATCATCATCATCATCATCCACATCCTCATCCACATCATCATCATCATCACCATCATTATCCTCATCCACATCATCATCGTCATCATCCTCATCATCGTCACATTCATCATCATCATCATCATCATCATCATCATCTTCATCGTCATCATCATCGTCATCATCCTCACTATCTTCATCATCAGAACCATCATCATCATCACCACCATCATCATCACCATCATCACCATCATCAACCCTGAAAGGGTTACCCACTGCCATGTATCCCTAGTAAACTTCTGAAACCTTGAAACGTGGTACGGGGGGCAAAGAAAAACACCAATCTGATCTAATGTAGGGGGCAGATTTTCAAGGTTTCAGACGCAATTTGGGGGTTATACTATTATACTATTAGATGGCAGTGGCAACCCAACTCTGAGTCTGAATTTAGCTATAGATTTGTGCATTAGTAATTATAAAATCGTCTTTTGAATAGATGGCATCCATTCTGACATGTTTTCTGCTGGCTAAAGTTGGTTTGACATTCTACCTGGCACTTGTGGCAAGTGTTCAGGTCTGTGTGTGCCTGAATCAGCTGGAGGTAAAAAAAAGGTATATATCGTTGTAGAGCTCCCGTAGTAGAGATGAAACCCAGTTTGTCAGTTTGTCTATTTCTCCTTGTCTTTCCACTCACCAACTCACTCTCCAGAGGCGGTTTCACAGATACATCAGTTTCACTTCCCTTGGCTTTAAAACATCTAAGAATCTAGAGACCCTCACGGTATGTTAAAAACTGCAAAAGCTGCAGCCCGAAGCAGTAGATTGCAGTCTTGGCTCGTACATTGCGTTGCTCATCTTCTTCTCCATTTTCCTGCAAAGAGTTAAGGCTTATCGTGAGTACTGCAGTGACACAGTGAGGGTGGTGTGGTATGATTCAAAAATTCGCAGTCACTGCCGTTGTCAGATACCAGGTATCAAATTGAATTCTGTAATGAAATGTCCCGTTAATAGCAACCACAATCTGAAACCTTGAGTTGTTTGAAAAAGATCTGGAAGAGAACGCATCAATTAGATCATGACACTCTTTCACACAGTCTAAAAGAAACTCTGACCCATGTCATTCTTTGGAAAAGACGCACCTGGCGGCCTGTGCTGATTCAGATGGTTGTAGGATGGCATAGTGCTCAGAGACCTAAGCACGGCGTTGGCACAAGATGATGTAATGCTGCACCTCTTCGACAGGGTGCGTGGGTAGCAGGGCCCTAAAATCTAAAGGTAACACAGAGCTTCCAGAATTCGATATGTGCAAAACCTGCTGTATATTGACATTTCAGTTGTAGGTCCAAAATTTTGCAATGTTATAATAATATGGAGATGTTGTAACTGATATTAAATTTGGTCCGCTGATGACTGTTTGCGCAACACCCCCCAGGACTCCCCCAGGACCCTTAAAGATCACTAACGCCAAAAAAACATTGGGGCTTGACTGGACCTCAACAACAGCAGTCGAGACGGTTCCTCCTTTTTGTCTGAGGCAGCAATGTAGTGTATGGTAAATGTAGTAAATGCACTTTGTGTGCCGGGCCATGATAAGAAAGGACCGTTTCATCCGCTTGAACGCCCACTTGCCCAGAGGTCACTTGATGTGCGATTCAACCCTTTGAACCAGGTAACCAAATTGTAGTACGAACCTTTTTTTGTCGAAGTAAAAGCATGCAACCAAAGTTTGGGTTTCTTCCTTAAAGGAATATATATATACTATTTTCTTGGCGCACAGACCAGGGCATAAGCTGTCTACCCTGCTACTTCTTCAAAGTAGCCTTCTTGACATTCCTCAACCGCTTAAGGTCAGACAAAGTCATGCGATGGACTTCCCTGGGCTTTACAATTTTTTGCTCCATCAGCTGTTCTACTGAATCGATGCGAGAACCCTCACTCACATTCTGATTCATATCGAGCGCTGCCTGCACAAAGCTTTTCTTCATCCTTAGGCGATGCCGGACTTTGGGACCACATGCTAAAACCACCACAAAAGAAAGGCCCACGAGTGTGAGAACAACAATCCACAGTAAACAGCATGACTCATAAATAATTGTAATAGCCAGGTTACTCTGGCGTCTGTGGATAGTCATCATCATCAATGCTGGGCGGGAGATTGGAAAAGGTTTTCATTTTCAGGTTCTCAGTCTCAGGGATCACAGGGCTTGAGCGTTCCCCACCACCATCAGTATGCCCCGATGCTGCAGGTTTCCTTGGTATTCGGTGAAAAATTACTTTGACAATATCTAGTGCGAGAAAAAAGTCTTTGGGAAGCAGAACAAAAAATAAAAACACAATCACTAAACATCAAATAGTTTGAGTAGAGCTGCTCTGTGTAAGTATCATTGTCATTGTCATGGGGTACAGCTACCACCACAGCAGCAAGCGAGATGTTGATTGTCTTGCTTGTGATATGAACAATTGAATGAGATTGGTGCTGTAAATGTCTAGCTGATGACATGTCTTTTTCAACAGTGACTTGAGAGATTGGAGCAATGAAACTTTAGGCCACACAGATGTCTACCCTCTTACGCACAAAATCAAACAAATCTCTCAAGTCACTTTTGTGATCCGCTGCCCAGAGGGCCTGGCTTCAGAGGGATCGGGGGCTTTTCTTTTATTGGCTTTGGCTGGGGCAAAGTCCCAATTGGCAATCTTCCTGGGGGTAAAACTTGTCCGTCTTTCGCTCCCATGTTTGTGTCAGTATGCTTTTCATATGTATGCTCAGCCTCACCTTGTGTTTCTACCACTTTGGTTGGTTGGTTCGTTTTTTGCTGACCTGAGTGTCACTTTCTAACACCTCGGATTGATCCTTTCTTTCCTGCGACTCTGTGTACTCACTGAGTGAGGTTTTTCCATTCCAAACATCCTCTAATGATGGGACGGGCAGCGTGCTTGGCGAAGATGCCATTAAAAAATAATCGAACCATTAAAATGTCAGTGAGTCTTAGTCTTTTGTTGAACTGAAGTGTCATGGCAGTATTTGAACCAAAAAGTTGCAGTGTGGGTTTTTTAAAATTTATACAACTCATTGCAAACAAAAAACAAGAGGACCGAGTGAAATGTAGCCTTCCTTTTGACTGGAGCACCTGGAGGTGTAGGATCAGCATGAACACGCATACGAGGTGGTGGAGTGGTGGGAGTGGTTGCCGCTTTGCTGGCTGCTGGTGAAGAAACTTTCAACCTGGTCAAGAGTCCGGATAAAAATTCATTACAAAGACTAACAAAAAATATTCATTTTTATTACCCTTGCCCTTAACTTGATATTCCTCAGGCTTTTTCTGTGCAAGTTAGAAACTTCCGTAAAGCCTCCAAATCGCTTTCAGCAACGCTGCTTCTCCCGGATGTTGTCTCTGCACCACTGGAATCAGTCCGAAACAATTGCCTAGCAGCCTTCACTAGATGATGGGAAGGAGTCTCCGGTGTTTTATCCATGGCTCCCTACTCAAACACTGGGAAAAAACAATGGGTATAGGACCCACTGCACAAGGCCTCAATACTTTCTTTGATGTCTCTTGGGGCTCCAAAGCAACAGCCAGAAAAACAAATGTACACGAAGAGTGAGCTTTGAGGAACCAACATTTGTTCAATGTCTCAACCGTTGGAAAGTATTACTGTAAGCATTTTTTGGGCTGGACATCCAAGACCGCAGTACTGTAATTTAATTTATTATATTGTAAAATGAAGTTCCAACGGTTGAGAAGTGAGACTGATGAATATAATAGTATTATAATACTAAAAAATCTGAAATACATCAAGATCACCATGGGGATGTCCACTGGCAGCTCAACACAGAGACCTGTTTATTTTTGTTTTTCGCCCGGACGAGGTCAACTGGCATAGGTAGGTGACTAACCGTCCGGCAACGGTTTGCACCAATTCAAGCTTCCCATAACTGTTTGCACAAATTATGTGGAGTCATGAGGAAGCATCACGTCAAAAGCCGTCAGTACAGCAAAGTTTTCAATTCCTTTCTAAGCAAAGCATCAGGTTACCAGGTTGTGTTTTACCTTGTATCATCAGTGAAGCTAGGCTCTAGTCTATTACTCCATGACTGCCCTCGCTAACTGACGTTCACTTCTAAGTTAAGTTAGCCACTACTGATGATAGCGCACTTTGTGCCAAAACCAGCCATCATCCTGCCAAAAAGGTAAAACATCCTTCAATTGAAAATCCGGTTCACGCACTAGGCCAAGCAGCCCTTGTCCTTCCGTTTTCAAGTAATTGTCCGTCCATTCACGTGGTGGATTCCCCAAGTTTTTCCCACCGTCCCATGTCCAACCCCGGTATCGAAGTTGGATAACCCTCTTCGCAATTCTCCACGGTAAAGGCGTTACAGGTGCAGG